CCCCAAAACCCCAAAACCCCAAAACCCCAAAACCCCTAAATTCATCAAATAGTCGAAATTATATCATTACTAAAAATATGTTTAAGAGCTTTAAAGCGTAAGTTTTTGCAAACAAAATATGTCCAAAGGAGGTTTTCCCACCTTCCAAAATGCTATCTTAGGCCTTCATAAATCCTTAATAAACTTTCTAACCTTCTACAGCTGTTGTGGGAAGTCCAAGGTGAAAAAGTCTATCAGAAGGAAGGTAAGGATCCTTGTAATCTTTGTTTAGAATAAAGATGACACAATACAGAGTGTGTCCTTGCTTAACGAAACCTTTGATTACAAGAAGAAAGGTACGACCCTTCAGTTATTTATTAGAGCGAGTAAACTGCACCGTCTGCTTAGAAGATGTTGATTATTACCAGCACAAGTTTATACAGAGGCAGTGTGATAAAGCAACAGGGCATGTCAAGGAAGAGCTTAAAGGAGAGCTCAATGATGTATGGAGATGGCTAATTTTGTGTAGAAAGAAATGATAGCTGTCATTTATCAGAAATAATAAGAAAGCAACTACTCAGGATGAGAAAAACCGGAAGCTTTGTCCTCAAAATAAGTTCAAGAAAAATGAGAAACTGAGGTTGTATGGGATTAAACAAAAAGAACTAGAAGAGAAAAATGAAGAGGTTCTTGATTGTATGGAAGCTGATGGAATTGCTATCCTGACTGAATGCAAGCATGTGTTTCATAACATATGCATAAATTCATGGCTTAAACAAAATAACACTTGTCCAATATGTAGAGAAGTAAATCTTGTTTATCAAATTTGCAAATTAATCCATATAGCAAATATATCCGCGCGATGCTGATGGTGGATTAGGACAAGCCTTAATCGGCATACTTATACTCAACGCTCTCCTCCGAGACTCCGAAAGCAATGGTCCTTCTTCTAGACGCTCCCGTCACTCAAGACGTTCCCAATCCTCCAGCGATACCTCTAGATCATCTCTCCCCTTCCCTCTCCCCATAAGGTACGCCTCCATTCACACCTTAGCCCCGACTCCATAAGATCAATCCACCTCCCCTCAGGCCCATAAAATCCCTGCATAATTTCCTTCAATTCTCCACACATCCCACGGGGTTTTGGGGTTTTGGGGTTTTGGGGTTTTGGGG